GATGATGATAACCACAAGGGTTTTGTTGTTGGGTGTTTCCAAGTCAGTTCATAAAATGATGGTTCGTCATATTTTGTGTATTTCTGTAAAATATATACTATTGTAAAATGCTGCGGAAGTGCCCACTTCGTTTAAGCGCCCATTATTAATGTGTTGCAAACTAGAAAATTCTGCAAATTAAACATTAAGCACCCATTTTACTGGACAAGCAACCATGTCTAGATTAATGCGGTTTTCAGTAAAAGTATAGTGGGCGCTCCCCCAGTAGTTTACGGTATATGAAAGTAATGTCCTTGGAAGAAGCACCCAGCTATATACAGGGTGTTTCACGAAAGTTGGACAAATTCGATATTGCGAAAACTATGCATCGCACCGAAGAAAAGGCTCGCGTCGTTTTGGTTCTAGTTTTGGCCTATGAAAATTATTTACGTTTGAAATAATTAAGTAGTTAATTATTTTTTAAATATTGAATTTTAGGGCATGGTTTCAATTAGAACCTTGCTCAGCATCATTGAAAAACACTAAATCAACAAATTGCAGAATGATAGAATGGCACGCGCGGTACTTTACAGCTTTTTGAAAAACCGCATGATTTCGACGGGTTTTCAAGTTTTGCAAAGGGAGCTCTTCTCGGCGCCAACGGTACCACACCCTGTGGAGAAATAGTGCAACCCAACCCCTGCTGCGCTGTCCTCGCGCAATGCAGCAGAGACTGCTTGCACTATTTGTCCACGGGGTGCTGTGCCGTCGGTGCCGAGAAGCGCTCCGATTGCAAACCGAAACTTAAAAACCCGTATACACCCTGTATACAGGGTGTTTCACGAAACACGGGCCACATCGTTCCTGTGAAAAGTATGCATCGCACTGTAAAAAAAGGTTGATGTAGTATTGGTCCATACCAAAGGAAAAATTTAGAAAAAAACAACAACAGTGTTTGATATAATTAGGTTAATATAAAGCTAAGTTAGGAACAGCATGACTTCTTACACCCTATGATAAAGCAGAACCCCTGAACAGCCTTAGTAGGTTACAGAAAATATCTTTTTGGAGCCGATATCATGCAGCAATGCATCCCAAGTTAGATCAAGTCACTACAAATGGTTAAATTTAATAAATATATATATTTTTTTTATTTAAATATTGGTATGTTATTTGGCCACATTTAGAGATATCAGCAGTTTCTTCATTAGTAACAAAACTACAATAATGCCTGCACCTTTTTTTATATATATATTCATAAAATTCACTTAAAGACACTCATTTTTTATGTTTCACACTGTTGGAACTAAGTAGTTTGTTGGTAAATAATTTGTGAATGTGTATCTAAACAGTGTTTACTTGACATGTTTCATAGCTTTTTATGCATATGAATTATTTTTAATATTCTGTGTACATGTTATAAATCTGTCATAAAATAAATTAGGAAGTTATTACTATGGTATGTGCGTGCTTTGGTGTAAAACCGATGGCTGTGCAAAGTGCCATAGTGAAACTTTGGCAATCTCTATGTCTCGAGCTTCAAAAACATAATCCCAAAGCAAATTAGCTAAGGCGTTCACATGTACCTGAACTCTCCAACCATTAGCATGGCTTTCACATTTTTTACCTGAATATAAAAAATATCATCTGAAACATCATTGCATGAATGACGTGGAAAAACTCAGCAATAACTGAAACCTATTTAAAATTCACACAAGCCTACTAAAGCAATCAAGAAGTGCAGCAGGGCCTGAGCTATTTGTTTCAGCACTAAGGAAAATGTACTTTTGACAATACTGGCCCAAATTCCTCACATTTTGGTGAAATCTGGCAAGGTGTAGCAGGTTCAGAACATTCAAACAGCAATGACATCATTGGTACTACATATAGACACCGAGAAAACACCAGCCCAATGGTTTCACCAAGGTTAATTATCAAATAACAAACAACTTTTTGGGTCACAGCAGTTTTCATTTTTTTAACAAAACAAGGAGGTTACTCGCTGAGCAGACTTAACCAAAAAGTCTACTAGAGATGTGCGTGGGCTCAGGCAAGCCCGAAAACCCGAACCCAACTTAAATCTGGCAATAAATGACATGTCCTGTTCGAGCTCAAGTCTGGTTTGGGTCTAACATTTCGCAATGTAGGTCAAGGCTGAACTTTTTTAATAATTTGCGGGTTCTAAGTTTTGCTACGCGGTGGGATCTTAATATAAATTCCAATGTGTTTACATTTTACCAGAGTTGTTTGCAGGACCTATTTTTCGCGAATTGTCGGCGATTCGCAAAAATTAGGTACCCACGAAAATTAAGTTGTTCATGGTATTTCGACGTCCACTGTCAAAATATTCCATAAATTATTTCGACGTCTGCGTAGACACTTCCATAAAACGTCAAAATAGGGGCATTATTATTCCGACGTCTACCTTCAATGCGGTCGTCGCAGTGGTAGGGTGAAAGCTGTTTTCGTGGTTTCGTTCTGTTTAGTTTGTCAGTGCTGTGTTGTTATTTTGAAGGATTCATCTGTTGCGTGCCTAGGAAGTTTCGGTCCTAGTCAGCATTGGAAATGTCTTATTCAGCGTGTGTGGGACTGGCTAGACAGTTGATTCATTAGGACCTCACACGCCCGGTGGCAATGTTCTGAGCTTGCATGTTATTTCGCCACCTGTCTTACTTAAAATGTTAATCTAAAACAAAGGCGAGCTGGATATCCCTGTCTCGCCTGCGCGTAATGTAATTGCATACACTAATAACACTGAGAAATTCGGCACGCTTTTTGTGTCTTCATATCTTGCGGGCGCGTCTTTGTATGGTTGCGGTCTCGCTTTGCATCTGGCTCCCGCCCAGTTTTTAACCGGGTTTCGTGAGTTTGTTGCGCAGTTTAGATTATCTGTTTGGTTCATGTATAACGAGCTGGTTAACTATAAAACAAGCGGGATGCCAAATAAAAGGTTGTAAATGCAAATACTGCCTAGTTTTGACCGGTGCAAACGAACACAAGTTCTGGCACGGTTGTACGTACGAGATACACACATTTTCGAAACTGCAAATTTTATGACACAGCATTTAGCTCCTTTGTTTATATAAAACACGTGAAACAAATTATAAAATGCAGTGGTGCCACATTTTGTAATGTTGAGCACAACCAAACATGTACGTCAAGGTTTTTTTGTTTTTTTAATCACACTTTATTTAAAGGGAAGAATGTTTGTTTCCGTAAAATTTGTGTCGAATGGTCAAACCACAACACAGCCAGCAAACAATTTTTTTTTCCGCTTTTTTTTTTTTATTATTGTTTTTAGTTCAATTTTTGAAGCTCGCTCCAAAGTTTCAAGTATGAGACGTCAAAATAATTACAAAAATATTTTGACGGTGGATGTCAAAACACATTTGGAAATTAATGTTTTCATATCTTCAGGAAGTGGCGTCACCATGGACGTCAAAATTAAAAAAATATTTTGAAAGTGGACGTTGAAATAGTCGCTACCTATTTATTTCTAGCTGCATCGGGCTCGGGCGAAAGCAGGGATTAGAGCGTGGGAACCTGAAAACCTCATCCTTTGACACATCTAAAAAATTCACTTTAGAAACAATGAAAAAATTCACAACCTTAAGGGTGTGAATTGTTCCTTTCACTTTTAAAGGTGTGAAAGGTACAATTTGACTATATGTGTACACAGGGTTGCGTTTCAACTCCATTAATTTTGCGAGTCTGGAGACACCTACAGGGCTAATGGCCAGGTATGTTACTACACAACAGCTTGGAGTACACAGAGTAAAAGCTGGCACTGCAGGAAGAGACCCTGGGTTTGATCCCCACCTTTGTTTAATTCAATCTAGATGAGCATTGTATCGGCACGTGGTAGCATAACACTACTGCGCGATGCATGTTAAAGACCCCAGGCCGCCAGTCATACAGTCGAACCCGGATATATCGAATTCAAAGGGGATCGTAAAATAGTTTGATATATCAATAATTTGATATACAAAAATATGTTAACTTAAGCTCTAATTAAAATTTCCGCACTTCTCTGCTAATACCGAAGGCTGCGACAAATGGGACCTTGCCAAATAGAGCCACTAAGAGGGGACCTTACCAAATAGAGCCACTAAGAGTCGCTAAATACCTTAGAGATTAGCTGGTAAAGATCACAAACACCACAGCATTTACGCCACAATGTTTGCGATCGTTTACGCGCGCGCGACCTCTGCACGTCATTAGCGACAAAACACGAATTATAAAAAAAAATATGAAAGAACGGAAAGAGCAAGTCGTATAAAAACAAACAAAAAAACACTCGATCCATAGAATAAAGTTAAAACAAAAAAGAAACCTCACTAAATTCAAGCAACAAAAAAAGGCAAAAAAAAAAGAAACGCGCAAAGCAAAAGCAGGGAAACAAAAAGGTAAACGAAGATAAGGCGTTAGAAGTGTGATTGCTCAACCGTTGTCAACACACACTTGACTTGAGGCTAAGGAGCACCCCCTGGCCTCTCTACGCGCGACCGCGTGCCCTTCCCTTTGCTTTTGCCATCCTCAATTCTTTTTTTCTTTCTCCGTTTCTCTTTTTTTTTTTTTTCTTTTTTTTTACAACTGCTTTTTTGTTGAGTATCCCTGAGATCCCCGTGTGCGTATGCTGGCTTGGCGGTCTGCCAGCCCGGCAACGCGAGCTTGTGCTCCGTGGGCGCAATCTGACCTGGGGAGAAGCGAAGGGCCGCCGTGCTTAGTTCGCTATATCGAGTGTCCCCGCCATGGGAGCTCATGGGAGTTCGATACAAAAAGACAACGCTCCTATACTATTACATGTGATTTTCAAGGAGATGTTTGGACTGTCCGATATAAGCAATAATTCGAAATACCCGGGTGTGACTTAACCGGGCTCGACTGTACTGTTCTGGCTAGATTTCTCACCCAGTGTGAACCAGAACCACCCTACAAGGTAGACTGACCTCGCATCATTGAAACACATCCAATCTGATAGTTTGCTCGATTTAGCGACACCTGAAGAATAAACAAATTACCTGCAGCTTCTTGGACAGCTTGCTCCGGTGCACAGAGGCAGAGTATATCCTGAGTATCTGCGACGGCCCTAGATAACCCAGTAATTTCTCTGCCAGGTTGTCGCAAGCGCTGTTGGATGGTGCCACCACCAGGATGTGGCTCGATGGGATCAGCGTGCAGACCTTAGTAGAAGAAAACCTTTCAGTTTCAAGCCTGAAGATGCTGAAATGATGCAGTAAGTAAGCTTTTGAATTTTTCAGAAAAATTGGTAAGCTGGATCTGTATGTAAAGCAAAACATATGCATGTAAGAGTTGAGAATTAAATCGATTGTGAGTGGTGCACACCAGAACCACAACCGTGACGGCGTTTCACACAATACCATTGGCCAGCACATGAAGCTGCATGGCCATGTTGGTTGCCCCCATAAATGTGTATTCCCCTCAGTTGCTGCTGCATTTCTCAGAAAGACACAGTATGCTTGACAATGCTAGCTTTAGAAAACTCCAAAGGTACCAATACTGCTATCAGGTAAGTCAAGCCTTCAACTTGTTTTGGTCAGTTAATAAATGAGTACATACCGTATTTGCACGAATATAACGCGAGTTTTTTTCCGAAATTACGTGCTCCAAAACGCACCTCGCGTTATATTCGGAATCGAGTTCAGCCACGAGGCGCGCGAGTCTGGAGAAAGCCAGAGGAGAAAGTCATCCCTCCGGCTCAATGCAAAAGATCCAATGGGAAAAGAAGTGGGGGTGTGGAGGGCCATTTTCTAGCCATTGGGCCACGTGAAGGGGCGAATAGAAAACATAAAAAAGCATTTTTATCGCTTTTGTGTTTTTACATCGCGCGCACGCTGCACGCGCGCGCGCCATGCGGGAATGCGGGCACCGGCCAATTCGAGCCAAGCCAAGCCGGGCCAAGTCAAATCAACACAAGCCAAGCCAAGACCACCGACCGCGTTTACGCAATCGTGCAACACGAGGCATTTGTTTACGAAGAGGGACCAGAACAAGAAGTGTGATCGTGTATCGGGTTCAGCAGTCTTTTTTCTGCCAGCGCATTGTTTAGTTTCTGCTCCAGAGTGGTCTGGTGTTTGTGTGTTGGTGCTTCTGCTTCCGCGCCTTGTTTGGATTGTGGGCTGCCGAGGAGCTCCCACGGAAGAAAAAAGAACTACCAGACAAGCAGGTGCCGTGCTGCTGCATACCTGCGTAGTCGCCAAGTGGATTGTAAACGGAAGGACCTGAGCAGTGAGGATGAGTGCAGTCAAAACATAAACAGATATTTCTTCCATTTCCCTTGACTTTTCACTTCTGCTATGCCCCCAAGTGCGAGAAATTGACGTGGCATCGGTTCGCGTTATAATAGTAATAATATTTTTTTTCTTTTTGGGGGCATCAAAAACTGCCCTCGCGTTATATTCGTGGTCGCGTTATATTCGTGCAAATACGGTAATAATATGGAGCAGATATTAAATGGTATATATACTAGTTGCAGCACTAACCACTGAATATCTATTTTGCTTAGGGATGAAGCTAATAACTTTTTGTAAACCATCTCACCAAAGTTACTACAAGAAAACCACAAGCTATCATAAATTACTGACCACGTGCTCATGTCCCAACCCTACCGCTACTCCTTGAAACATTTTAAAAAATAAGCAAAGGGCATATCAAGTGTCCCCCTAGTGAAGAGAGATGCTTCTCTGAGCACGCCGGTGCGAAACAGAGAAGCTTGACACACACGCACCAGCGCAAGGCAGTGAGGCTTGATGCACTCCCGCTGGTGCAAAGCAGTGAAGCAGACCCCCATCATGCGTCTCTTCTGCACTTCCACTCTTGGACGTAACCAGCGCCAATCCCTCAGATTTTAAAGGTTATCTCCGAATTTTGAAGGGGTGTTTCCTGCGCATTTTACAGTACAGTCAAACCCAGCTCAATGTAACGAGTTGGTGAAATTTGCAATTTACTTCGTTACATCAAAAATTTGCTTAATTAAAATTCGGGTTTAGAATGCAAAAGCTTTTCGAAGTGTTTTACGGGTGCAAAAACTCTCAGAAAATTACATTTCTTTGCGGGTAAAGTAGTCCGTGACATTTGCTTGCGCCTTGTTTGCAAGGCGCAAGCCTTGCGCCCAGAACACTTCACAGCATCTTGCTGCCTGTGCGATCTCGTGTGCCGCCTCAGTACGTCAACTGCGTCGAGCACTTTCCAATTGCTCAGGATCTCGCAAGTTTCTTGGGCATCAACCTCAAAATCGTAGTCATCCTCCGTCGAGTTCCCAACCACGTACTGCACAATGAAAGCATTGGTAACCTCTTTTGTCGCAACCATGCAAGAATCCCCGTAGAGGTAGTCCTCCAGAATGACATCGTCGGAGACAACGGTGTTGCCACGGAGGAACTGCCATGCTCCCAGAAGAGCATCTTGATTCGTCTCATCTTCACTCGGAACGGACGAAACTATGCGAGCGCTTTCGCTTGCTTCCCAGAGAGCCCTGGCTGTTGATGTTGCAGGTGTTATACACCCAGCTTTCCAGGAACAGTTCTGGATGGTTTCGTTTGTTGCGACTTTCCAAGATGCGGAGAGCACTTCCAGTGCTTGAAAGATGTCCACGCTCATTGAACGTTTTAGGCTAAGGTTAAGCAGAACCCTGTCGATCAGCTACCGGTGATACACGCACTTCACACTGTTGATGATGCCCCAGTCGAGCGGCTGAATCAACGATGTACAGTCAAGTGGAAAGAATTGCAGCTCCACGTTTGTTAGCTCCAGGTCTGGTATGTGGTGCGTGGAACAGTTTTCCAGCAGTAGACAATACGGAGCTGTCATTCATCACCTTACCTTGTCAGAGTTATCAAGCCACCCGCAGAAGATGTCGCAGGTCATTCACATCTGTGTTGGACGTGTATTCTATTTCGAGGCCCCGAGCACCTTTGAAGCATCACGGCTTCTTACTTTTTCCAATTATGAACAGCATTCGCTTGTCACTCGCGTCTATATTTCTGCAGAAAAGAATCGTGACCCATTCCTTGCTGTGCTTTCCTCAGTGGCATCGTTCTCCTTTTAAGGGCCAGTGTCCTATTTGGGAGTATCTGATAAAAAAAACCAGTCTCATCTGCATTGTAAATGTTAGATGGCTTGTACTGCAGCATGATTCCTCGCAATTCCTTTTCAACCCTAGCAGCGGCTTGAGGCCTATTGACTAATGTCAATTCCCCCCTTTGTCATCCTTCCGACAATTGCATGCCGGGCCTTGAACCTGAGCAGTCATCCACTGCTCACCTTGAACTTGTTTTGGCCCACACAGGCCCTCTTTTATTTTACGGGTGACCACCTTTCTTTTTATTCACAACATTTTTGGCGACGGGGATGGGATTACTACATTTTGGCGCCCCCGGAGCCCTGAGTTCCCGCTGCAGCCCTGCCTGCAGCCCTTCATGCTGCAGTTCCGTCTGCAGTTCCTGCTGCAGTTCCTGCTGCTGCCCAATCAGCCGCCAGCTGTTCATCCAGCTGCGCACAGACTGCCACTGAGGATGCAGCCTCTAGCACCTCCTTTGAAGGTGCACCAGTACCGGTGCCAGTCCCGTTCCCAGTACCAGTGTCGTCGACACCCATCACAACGCAGCCCAAGCCGTTCCGCAGACCGGAGCCACCAGAGCCCCAGGGTCCAGACGCCTCTGCGCAAGAGTGTCGTCGTCGGCTGCCAGATGTGCTGAAGGACTATTTCATTAACTCTTTTGGACTGGGTTCAAGATATGTGTGAACAATATGAATTTTTCTTTATCCAGCATAATGCCTCAGCGCAGCTTTTCCAGTGTAGTGCTTTCCGCAAATGTTATTGAGACATGCTTTTCCATTTCATTCACTTTGTATTTTCCAGTGTCTTGACATAGAGCAGTCACTCACTAAGCATTTAATTTCAGTGCATTTTCATACTTTCCAACTGCCCTGCAGTTTGGCATCAGTTTTTCCTTCCCTCATTGTTTTGGGAAGAGTGCTTATTCATTTTTTCCAAGAAAGGGAAGGATATGAGAATTACTTTTTAAGAAAAGGAAAGATGTATTTAAATTTTTCAGTTTCTATATACACTACCTAGGTGGCGCCACTGTCCACCATTGCGCCCGTGTTGTCAGGGTCGCGTCCCAGTGGCGCTTGACCCCCATGTTGTTTACCGTTGAATAAACAGAGTACGCCACCAGCCACCATCCATGTCGGACACCTCCTTCCTTCCGGGGCTCCCCCGCCCGCCCCCGCCCGCCGTGAAATATATTCAAACCATTTTTTCGAAGTGTGAGCTACACTCGCCAAGGTTGAGCAGTTTCACGTGGCTCCCGAGAAGCCGTGCTGCACTTGCGCGAGACGCAGTGACGTCACACGGCGCACGCCTTGTTGGTCTGCGCGTTCCAGAGGAGTGACGTCATAGCTGCGGCAGACGCACTAGCACCGCCGCGAGCCCAGCTGTGCGCCTCCGTTGCGCAGTAGCCAAGTCTGACGCTGTACCGGAGCCGCTTGATAGCGCCTCTCATTTTTTTTCCGTCTACTTTTCTAAATATTAGTGCATTCTGTTTTAAGTCAATCCTGGCACAGTTATGGCGCAATTTTGAGCAAAAATGACACTTTGGCACGAGATGTAGCAGACTTTCGTTCATGGTGCAATTGATGCAGCACTTCCATCACTGCCAAAGTGAGCCACAACATCCTTCTTTCATTTGCCTTTGGAGATGGCTTCCAGAACATTCGCTTTCTCATCTAGAGAAAGAACTTAAACAATAATGCGTCTTCCCACTCTCCTCCTAGATGGCATGACAGCGCTGCTACGCCGCTCCCGCCGATTTTGGTCCTCGCGCTACAGTGGGATAGTACTTGTGCTGTCGGTGCCATGCTAATGATCAGTGAATATCAGTGGTGCTGCTGTTATGCTGTGGTAACTTTTTGCTCAGCATTTTCTGGCTAGCCCTGCGGGATGTGCTTTGCTGCCTGCCTCGCCGGCACTACCGGCACCGCATGCTCGGGCAGTCTGGGCATGTTGGGAGGCTCGTCCCCATGAATTAACCTCTCAAATGCTCGCGTTCTCGCAGAATTTTTTTTTTTTTTTTATCTGCAAAGTAGTTTTTTAGAGTTTATTTATTTATTGCCTTCTATGGCAATGGCACTTAGTTATCTTAAAATAGCAGCAAAACAGATGTTATATTGAGACTAAAAATACATGGGGTTCTCAGGACAAGTTATGCAAAGTGAAATACTTTGTTAAATCGAGTATTTCTTTCCATTGAAGTTTGTTATATCGAGGTTCGACTTATGTGCATAATTGCCGTATTTGCACAAATATAACGCGACCACGAATATAACGCGAGGGCAAGTTTTGATGCCCTGAAAAAGAAAAAAAAAAATTTATTACTATTATAACGCGAACCGAGGCCACGTCAATTTCTCACACTTGGGGGCATAGCAGAAGTGAAAAGTCAATGAAAATAGAAGAAATGTCAGTTTATGTTTTGACTGCAGTCATCCTAACTGCTCAGATCCTTCCATTCACAATCCACTTGGCGACTACGCAGATAAGCAGCGGCACAGCACGCAGATAAGCAGCCTCACGGCATCTGCTTATCTGGTAGTTCCTTTTTCTTCCATGCGAGCTCCTCGGCAGCCCACAATCCAAACAAGGCACGAAGCAGTAACACCAACACACAAACACCAGACCACTCTGGAGCAGAAACTAAACAATGCGCAAGCAGAAAAAAGACTGCTGAACCCGATACACGATCACACCTCTTGTTCTGGTCCCTCTGCATAAACAAATGCCTTGTGTTGCACGATTGTGTAAACGCGGTCGGTGGTCTTGGCTTGGCTTGTGTTGACTTGACTTGGCCCAGTTTGGCTTGGCTCGAATTGGCCAGCGCCCGCATTCCCGCACGGCGCGCGCGCGCGCTGTGTTTTTGCGGCGTACGCACATTGTACAAACATAAAAGCAATAAAAATGCTTTATGTTTTCTATTCTCCCCTTCACGTGGCCCAATAGCTAATCAATTCCCTTCCACACCCCCACTTCTTTTCCCACCGGATATTTTGCATTGAGCCAGGGGGGGATGGCTTTCTCCAGACTCTCGCGCCTCAAGGCTGAACTCGATTCCGAATATAACGCAAGGTGCGTTTTAGAGCACATAATTTCGAAAAAAAAACTTGCTTTATATTCGTGCAAATATGGTACACCTCAAAAAGATTGCAATTGACCTCTGCGTCTGACAGCACCAGGCAGTTTCCAGGAGTAAACCTTTAGCGTCTAAGTAATGTGTAATCTTGGCTCCAACACCAAATGACACAGCAGTTAAAGAAAAGTGAAATGTAATCAACATTGCATACATTCCGTTGAAAGGTGAAAGTTAATTTCTGTGGCTATCTCCTGTGTGCAAGACTCCACCTATCAGAATTGTTTCCTCCTTCATAGAAAGACCACCAAAGAGTTCCCAACTCTGATACAGTCGACTCTCATTAATTCAAACTCGAGGGGGGCCGAAAATTTGTTTGAATAAAGCAAAGTTTGAATTATCAGGAGTTTCTTCCCATAGAGACGCGTAGGATAGGACCTGCACGTTAGCTTGAATTATCCGAAAGTTTGAATTAAGAGATTTTGAATTAACGAGAGTCGACTGTATTTAAATGCTAGTATAATTTAGAAACTTACAGCTTAGCCTGAAACAAATGGGAGTTAAATGGAAATACTGAGGGTACTCGAATGGCTTTTGGATAGAATGACTAGATGTCCCCTGATGTACAGCGGGAACAGCACAACCGCAAAACAGTCACTCAAATCGACACACACACAAATGAAGGAGGCACTTGCATAGCACTGTGTAAGTGTCTCCATTTGTGTGTGTGATGTAAAAGTGCTGATAATTGGGCTAGTTGGTATTTAAACATCTAAACGGCATTAGAGTACACATAAAGAGGAGACACAGAAAAGAGCGCTACTCACAACTATATTTACTTAGATAAAGAGGAGGAAGAACATTGTAAAAATTCATCACCCCAATAAAGATGAAGAAAGAAGAAAGATGAAAAATAAATAGTACCCGTCACGTTGCCATCATGCAGGGTGTTTTGCATCAATCTTGGCTCGTGCGGGCTCTTCATTGTCAAAGATGAAGACGAGCACCTCATCCGTAGTCTACTGTCGCGTTTTCATCTTGCCTCATGTTTCGCGGGAACCATGGTTCATTGTGTGTTAAAAAGCGTATTTCCTTGTTTGATAATGCAACACATTCAACACTGATGCATTCCTTATCTGCAGATAGGATGTGGTAGGCTTCCAGTACCTCGTGGGTCAGTTTGTCTTGGTGCCTCCCTAGGATGCTTGTTTCCCCGAAACACAGTGTAATGAGTGCACGTGCAGTCCGTAATTTGGGGAAACAAGCATCGTAGGGAGGCACAAAGACAAACTGACCCACAAGGTACTGGAAGCCCACCAGCAAGCAGCAAGCCCTACAATTATATATAAAATAATGAGAAAGAATTGGTCAAATGTGGCAGAGCCAACATTCAAGACACAATTTGGCTTTTAATATTTTTCGAATTACACATTTCAAAGCTGGAATTTTACGTGTTCTGGACTGTCCATAAATGCAAACTATACATGGATTTTTTTTTTTAAGTTTGTTTATTATGACGAGACCTGAAAGAATTTGTTAACGATGGATAATGTTAATAATGATTTGTGTGATAGTGAACATCACTGACAATACTGAAGATCACATTTTGTAAACAAAAAGGGAAGATCGTACCTGGATCAAAGCTTCCACCAGGGTGACGGTCTTCCCAGTTCCAGGTGGTCCAAAGAGGAGGAACGGGTATGGTCGGTGCAAACCCAAGACAATGTTCTCGACTGCGCTGCACTGCTCCGCATTGGTCGCAATACTGCGGTTGAAGAAGCTGGGGGCACAGAACCGCAAAGGCAATTAGACTGGGTGCAAGAGACTTTCTCACAGACATACCTTCTAGTTACTCATGCTTACGTAAAGCGAGGAAAAGAATCTGAAAAATCAGACACGAAAGTCATTACAAGCACTCTAACCATAACAGTTGTGTGCTCGAATGCCAAGTTCAAGCCCCTCTCGGCATATGCCATTTTGTAATACTCAAATATTTTTTTTTTCCGTGCTTCTTTTCTCCTTACGATGGACCACTGCAGAAACTATGAGTTATTCAAGCACCGTGCACGCATTACGCGACTAATGCACGCCGCTCATCAAAGCACCCCTCTCAAGGGTCACAAGACGCTCACATAGCATTGAAATGGCTTCTATGGCTCGTATTGCACCTTCAGAGGTTCATTGTAAGGTGAAACAAATACCTTAATCTCATTAATTGTAGATATACGATACACTCATTATATAATATAACATAATGTAAACAAAATAAACCCCAACTGGCAAATGGTTTTATGCACTTCTTTCAAATTCACCACATTCAAGTTGGTGCACGCAGATGGTTCTTGATGATGATGCAATAGTTATCTGTTTGACCATATTATTGACCTCTCGGCCGAGCCAGTCCTACCTCATCGAGTGAACTTCAGTTTAAGTTCATTCAGAAAACTACATATTGTCAAAGCTGTATGTTGGGCTAGTTGGTATTGGTCTTGGGTTGCCAAAGGCATGGTAGCGCTTTTTTGGACGAGGACAAAAGAAAGAAAGACAAGACAGACACGAGCGCTGTGTCTGTCTTGTCTTTCTTTCTTTTGTCCTCGTCCAAAAAAGCGCTACCATGCCTTTGGCAACCCAATACATATTGTCACCTAGTGCTTGGAAGTTGTTTTTGACAATATAAGTCTGCTCGTAAAAAACCGGAACCATTTTCGCTGTCGAGGTTGCTACTAAAGTCCACACACTTTCACGCAGTGTCAAGCTGAGCCATTTATAGCCCATCGTAACGTCAATGAGCACACGCGCTCGTTCACGCTCACCGACGCTGTCTGCGAAGGGGGTGTCTATAATCCGCCAAGTTGAATGCGGCGCAGCGAAGAGCAGCTTGACGCGCAACAGTGTAGCTTACAACGGACTTGGACACGCTCTACGTTCAACGTTGGACGACGACAGCGCTGACGAAGGCTATCCCAGAAAACCTCGCACGAGTGCCTCACTCGGGAATTTGTTTGTCGAAATGTCGGGATCGTTGCGGCCAGTCGGTGTGTGCAAGGTTCTCATTTCTGAGATCTGAATCCGTCGTCCTTGCGGTGTGTTGCGTGTGGTTGTCGTGTTCCCATGTTGGTGTACGTAAATTAACGTTTGTGCGCTTGACTGGGAGAGTGTGCGCGCGGACGTGGACCGCTCCAAGGATGTGCTACCCTCGATTCTCGATAGGCCTATCGATCTAACGAGACGGTGGTGGTGGGCCATGGTGTTTGGGTGCCAGCAAAAGCTAGAAGCTCGATGACGCGCCAGAGGTACGGTTAATTAGAATTAAGGTTGTAGGAAATCGCGTACCGCCGCCGATTCGCCATTTCCCACGTGGCCCGTCAACAAACCGAGTCCAGCCTGGTTCTTTCACAGGAGCGGGATTCTGCTCCCCGTTTATTCGTACAATAAAACACAACTCTACAAAACACTTAATCTAAACTACAAATACACGCGACATTACACAAATATTTACAAACGCACGTTAAGCCCAACGCTAAACACAAAGAAGGCCATTAGGCCTCGCGTCCCGCGATATCCTAGATCCGGTCGCCACCCACTTGCCTGCCAGTGCCTGCGTCTTGGTCTCGTCCTAAGTTCTTAGAGGCCTCTCGCCCCCTGCCCCATCGAGTATATATCCATCGATGGGCGAGGAGGTTTCTCCTCACCCGCCACGGGGGCGCCTGCAGCGCCCTCCAGTGGCTAGGAGAGAAAGCGGCGCGTCGGGAGCCGAATTCGAGATCCCGATCGACCCCGCGGCGACACGACCATGTGATCGTGTCTGAGGCGAGGCGGCTGCGCAGCTGCCTGGCAGCCAAGGATTGGCAGAATGGTTTGATGGACGCCCTTGTGAATGCACGGTGCGCCATACGGTCAACCTAATGGGGTGCTATTTACAACCATGTGCTAGTCCCACTCACCTGCAGTCGTTCCCGATCGAAAAAGCGTCGTCGAATGAACGGGAATGGCGGATACAGTAAAACCTCTAAACTATTTAGCCGGCCAGAAATTTTCAGCTGGGCTGTCTCGGCTTGTAAACGATAAAAGCGGTATGCAACGACAATTAGACTAAATCATGTATTGTTTGTAGAAGCGTTACAATTTCGAACGTATACATTGCACAATTTAGGCATCGTCCGCTCTCTTCAGTGTCCGTTTCTTAAGTCAGCGTGAAAGTCTTCTATGATGATAACACACCGTCTATCTGTCAGAAAGAGGTCTCTGTGTAATATTGATTTCATTGAAGCATTCTGGCAGAATCGCCAGAGTCGTTTGGCATGACTCCAGCGAACCTGCGAAGCAGCTAGGTTCAACGAACGCAATATTGGGCTGTTTTTTCCTAAATGTCACATTTGTGCGACATTTAGGAGAAAATAAATGCTGGTTCGCACTCATTATCACTATCATTCGCTTGTTCTTGAACTGCTAACCGCTACCCTGGATGGTTGTTTTGAAGCATGACAACACGAGGACGAACCACACTGACCAACTGCATCTAGGCTAGGTGGCGCAAGCTACCGCCCATAGATAACCCGTAGAGACTATGCGGTTGCCATGGAGACGCACATGCACAAAGTGGGGTAGTTCGTCGGGGCACGCTGGACCGCATAGGTCTGCGCTGGACTGTAAATACCATAATTCAGGCACTTCTCGGCGCAACATAGTGACCGACAAACATCGGTCTGCGCCAAAGCGCGTTGCGTTAGTCGATGTTAGAGTATAAACAGCCCTGAACAGTCACGTCGGTTAATCTGGGCGCACAATTTTTTTTGTCTATGCGTCCTCCGACAACTTGGCAACAACATTGGAGCATTTGTAGTCTGCTTTTTAGATTGTCATCAAGCAAAAGATACTGTGAAAGACTTTCATTTCAGGTCACCGTTAAAGCCATTGCGACTGAAGTATATCTACCGTGGCCTGAACAATTGTGGTTCTTGTGGACAAAACTCTAGTTCCACAGAAGATTGAACGTAGTTCGTGCTCTCTAGGCAACAGGTGCGCAGCTGACATAATCCACCTGGTCCAGGCATCGATCCGAAGACCTTTCCAAAGACCAGCAGAGCACCCCTACCAACTGAACTAACTAGGAATTAGCCATCAAAAAAGCATTCTAGCAACAAATATTCTAAAACCACTGGGCTAGGTTCCTGCTTCGTTTTAGGATGCAGTGACAGGACTGGTGCAAATCAACATTGAATATGAATATCACTTTCAGCAACAAAGAAACCCTAAATAGTAAAGCAAAAAGATCACCATTCACCTGAGTTCACTAATATTCACAGCAGGCCGTGAAGGGTCATCGCAATCTGGTAGCACGAAGTTCCAGAGCTTTCGCTCGTTGCACATTCTGATGGCACGATGCATGAGGCGAAGTGGCAACCGATTCAACACAAAACGCAGATCTACCTTCATGCCTTCCTTGTATGTCTCTTGAAACCTGTATAAGGAGTCAATGAAAAATTACATCTAGAAAACAATTTCTATACTGGTCATCACACTGGATGATAACCTAATACACAACGCACATTCGTAAAAGTACTACTATCTTATAAAAGCTGGTTGGACAATTCCATGAGTTGAAAATATTTGCACAAAATTATTATCCATGTTAAGGCAAGAAAAAAAGCCAATAAACCAGTAGGAAGTTCACTGACATTCTGAATGAAGCTAGAGTCTACCACAGTGCACTTAAAGGAAGCTCACATAAACTGTTGATAGTTATAAACTTTTATTAGGCAATTAAATCCACCCTTGAGTTTGTATACGAAATAACGCATGAAAATATACCGCAAAATCCAGTTAAGAGGCCCACCAAAATTGAAGAGATAAATGGTGAAAAACATGGGGTGGGTTATCTTTGGGGATGCCGAACTTTTTCAAAATAATGATAAGCGCTGGGGCACTTGCTACAAACCACGTGATGCACGAACTGATACCGCAGATCGCGGACACGGCAAATTCGCGTTTCACGATACGATAAACACGCACGAATTCGCTACAAACTCCTGTGTCACGGGAAAGGATATTGCAAGTGGCCGACGCAGCAGATTCGCGTTTCACGGTGCATAGGGCTCACGGAAACCCGCCGAGGACTCACATCCATAGGCATAGACTATGGGGGGGCATCAAGGCTGGTGGGGTGGGGGGAACAGAGCTGAGCCCAAGCTCCCCCTTCCCTTCCCTTCCCTTCCCTTTCCCCCCCCCCCCCAAGGCTTGGGCCGTGATCCTTACCGAGACGCCGTTTGCGTGCCATGCAACGAGCTTCTAGTAGCGGCATGAAAACAAATTAACGCCCACGTTGCCTTTATTGACAAAATACATGGGAAATGAAATCCCAGCGTGTTTTCGTTCAGTCTCCAGTTCTGGCGAGAAGGTAACGCGCAGCGCAGCGATGTTGCAGTGTAGCCCAAGAGGTTCCTTCACCTTTCAGAAAATTTGAGAAAGATCATTCCGGTCTTGATCTCCGTGATTTTGCCCGCAAATTTAGGACCCAGCTTCTTTTGGCCAGAGTAGAGATCGACCTTGACGTTGCTTCCCTCCAGAATAGAAGAGTTTCCAACCAACGAATCTGGAACCTAATAAATGACATTGAATTACAAGGGCAGTGCAACGGTTTCCGGAGTTTGGTTGAATAATTCTGGGAGTTGGTCTCCGTCACTCCTAGAATGAGGAACAAAAAAACACTCTTGCCCGAGTGTGCTAAATTCTGTATGAAAATAAAGAAGAAATGAATTAAGTTTGTGGCACCTTTTAATTTTTAGTCTTCAGAATCACATGTGCAGTGGTGTCATCAAGGCGACGCAAAGTTTCCGGTTAAGCTCAGACTTCAAAAAACTTAATAGAATGTTGACCATAATTTCAGTGTGACGATGCAGGAGAGTTGGTTCATGATTACAACTGGTAGCAGCGCGCAAAAAACACAAGGAAAAAGGGAGGATTTCACAAGACGAGCGCTGACCTTCAACTGAACGTTTAATGAAAAGAACACACCCAAGTAAACGACCACACAGTTATTAAATCAACGCTCAAGATAGGCTATTTATTTTTTATGTAAATACACTGGAGTCTGGCAACCACAATTATCTCCCTCCTTTCCTATCAAGTACGCTTCCAGCAGTTCTCTTGCAGTTGTCACCCCCTTTCCCCACAATTGTAATATATTCAAAATTTGGCTGAAACATGCAAGTGGCACAGTGTAAAAGCAGATGTCCTCCCGTTGTTGAGCGCAGTGACAGGGCATGTTCACGCGCACGGTCGTTGACGCATTGACCTGTTTAGCCTATGTATTAGTGGTGCAAAACTATCGATAGTACTATCGACAGTCGCCAGAAATCTGACTATCGATAGTTAAAAGGCTATTGATAGTACTATGGATAGTCGACTATTGAAAAACTATCGATAGTACTATCGATACTCGACTATCGAAAAACTATCCATAGTACTATGGATAGTCTACTACCGAACTACTGATAGTACTATCGATAGTAGACTATCAGAAAATTATTGTTAAACTGTTATGAGAAACCTAACGATAGTCGACTATCTTAAACCTATTTATTTATTTATTAATACTGCTCACCTCGTGGAGGCGATAGCAGGAGTGAAACTGTACATGTTTGAAAAAAAGAAAAAAGTGCCGTTATACACAGTTCAAAATCTCGGCAGCGCCTTGCTGCAACGCGACACAGACAAGCAAAGTGACTCGCTGATCCAATCCCATCGGAAAACACTCGCGAGTATAGAATGCATAATATACAATCAAGATGCAACTCACACATACAACAACTATTTACTTTTCTAACCGATTTGGGAGAGGAATGAAGACAAGGTTGAACTATTCACAACGTCGGCTGGCAGGGAATTCCATTCTCTAACAGTGCGTGGAAAAAATGAATAATAAAATACCTTGTTTTTAGCGGAAAATTCCCTTATTGACAGTTGATGTGATCGTCTTGTTAATCGTGGCTGAAAAAATTAGATATACTTGTTTTTGTTAATCTTTAGCTGGTCATTAATGATTAGATAGAAGAATTTTAATCGATCTCTCCGTCGTCTATTTTCAAGACTCTCGAGGTTGGCATTTTGCAGGAGCTGGCTGGGAGACACAGACCAGCTATAGGAGTTGTAGATAAACCTTACCACCCTCCTTTGTATTTTTTCCAGTTTACTGTCGACGGTTGACTATCAATAGTTTTGCGAAACTAGTAGTTTGCGTCAATCCCTCTTCTCTTTTTCTCACTTTATTTTTTCAAATGGGACACCAACTAGCCCAAGCACTTATAGTGGTGCAAAACTATCGATAGTACTATGAATAGTATCGATAGTCTCAAGAAATTGGACTATCGATAGTAATAAAAGCTGTCGATAGTACTATCAATAGTCGACTATCGAAAAACTGTCAATAGTACTATCAATAGTCGAATACCAAAAAAACTATCGATAGTAATATCGATAGCCGACTACCGAAAAACTATCGGTAGTACTATCGATAGTTCTGTAGCACTATAGTAGATAGTTTCGGAAAAACTATGGATAGTATCGATAGTCAATTTATCGGTGGTTTTGCACCACTACTATGTATACCCAACTGCAGCTCTAAGGGATTCGGTACACCACTCCTGTCGCACAATCAGCATTTTTATTTCTATGTTTTACAGAACATCTGTTACCTTTGCTCCCTCTGTCAGCCACTCTGGGGCGAAGTTGCAACAACTTACTAGGCGTCGGAAAGACAACCGGCACTCGTACCTGCCCTCTATCTTTTTCATATTGTTCAGTTGAAGTTCAGCACTCGTCTCGTGAATTCCTCCCTTTGTCCTTGTGTTTTTTGCACGCTGCTATCAGTCGTAATAATTTCAGGCTTTTCACACACTGATACTTAAATGAAAATATTTTAAAATTTTGCCAATAAAGCAGAAAATTGCTATTCTTTTTAACTTACAACAGCAATGCTATGCCAGCCTTGCACGTATAAATGCAAGTGGTAACGTTAGTGCACCACCACACTTCCCCAGGCACTCCTTTTTAAATTTATTACTTTAGTATTTTTTTATGACACTCAGAAAGTTACTAAATATAACAATGCTTATTTTTTAATTAAAAAGTTCATAAAAATTTTTTATTTGACTTATGACTGCGAGCCCCTGCTATGTCCCTCTGGCAGTATAACTCACCACATTAGTGCAGCTACCAGTCATTTTGGTTAATTCGTTAATTCACTAACGCTTAGAAAAACAACCCGTACGGTATATCAAGACTACCTTCTCAGAATCACATAAAAAAAAAAAAAAGAAATCTAAAGGTCAAAACTGCTTCTCAAGATATTCACCAGGTAACTTACCTCCAAAACAAACCATCCTCCATAGTTTGGGAGTGGCCTGAGATGCAAGCTGGCATTGCCAGGTTTCCGAAAATTCGCGTCAATCTTGATCTCCTCAAGAAAGAGTAGCGTTGAAAACACCTCGAGGTAGGTGTCTGGGGACAGTGGACTCTTCAAGCGCTCCCTGCGAGGGAGAGCAGAAATTTGCTACAAATTTTTCACAACGTCCAAAACCTGACACAAGTGATTTACTTACCACGTAATGCCAAAACGTCTAGAGACAGGATAACCACATTGGAAATATTCAAATATTTAGGTTTAAGCTCAATCAGTGATGTAAACTGCATATAACCTGATGTAGCAGGTCTTGTAGCAGTTAAAATGTTGGTCTGGAGCAGCCCGTGCTGCTTTTGGAGCAGGTGCAAAGAAATATGTTAGCACGGTACTTAAAGGGATACTGAAGCGAAACTCGAAATACACCTATTATGGTCCGAAATAGGTTCAATATGATCAATGATATCCGTAAATCATAATCGCGCGTTTGTATTTTGAACGGATGGCTATATTTTTCACCCCGAGGGGCCCGATTGGGCGCGCGCTCAAAAATCAGCCATCGGAGAGCGCGATGCGTCTTGGGATATTGGGCGTATTCGTGACGTCACTTGTGCCAGTCGGGAAAGGCTACGGCGTGGATGTTGTGGTTACAAGCGTTGCCACTTGGTGGCACGTCGACGATTAACGACCTGTGACAACGTGGCCGTTTGAGATGTGCAAGGGCTGCACGCACGCTGCATCACGGCAAGTCGGCAACCACGCACCACTGACAGAACCAGCTCTGAAGCTGGATTCTCAAAGCAAACTCACGACGAAAAAAATGCGTACGACAAATTTGAAAGAAAACTTTTATTCTCGAAACTAAATTGTCGTAACTTCTGCGCAGGTTACGACAAAATCCTACGACAGCTCCGAAGCTGTCTTGCACACTTTTTACGATCAAATCAACATGGCCGACAGCGTTGCTCAGTTACTTGGTAGCAACGTCCAACGGACAATTACTTTTCTACGTGGCGTCCCAACTTCAACCAGCAAGAAAAAAGGAAGGAGTATGTGAAACAGACCATGACAATCAAGAATGCAGGATCCACAAACACCCGAGAAGATCTACAGCGGCCACGATTCTACCGACCAAGCGAGCTCGGCAGAATATAGTAGGCCTAGCAGCAACACTGACTCGGCGCACCGTTGTTCTAGCGGTCCTTGGCCAAGACCGTCTGCCCATGACCAGCTGGCCTGTTGAATGGAATATGCCCGCGCGACCCTTGTGGACCCTTCCCAGATGAATAGTTCGATCCCTGAACTAAATTTCAGGGGTCAATCTTTTCCCCTTGTCGTCTCGATCTCCTTGTTTTCCGAGACAGCGGTGACGAACGCTGTCGCCGAAAAGGGACTCATTAATTCTATCTCCTCGTTTTGTGTGACATAGAGCTCAAATAAACGCCATACGGATTACCTTCGCAAGACGGTATGTACGCTTTGTTATTAGTATGCCATTTTTATTCCGACACGACGCTACGTCACTGTCGAGCTATAGCAGTTCGTGGGAGCTACGCGATGTCGGTCCAACCTTTCTTTGCGGAGTGTCATGTCAGTATTGAGTTGCAATCGTAAAAGATCGGTCCAGAAACGCGTACTGAAACGCGGTCTCGCAGAGCGAATCCAGCATTTTGATCAAACGCGCGTGTCCGCTCCGAGTGTGAACAGGTATTTGCATGGCTCTTGCTGACACTCTGGTAGTTCAAACATATCTTTTTTAACGTCGGCTTGTGACTCGCAGCAACTAATACCGGCCGGCGGCCGTGCCAGAAACATGCTCGGGTTGTGTCGTGCCGCAACGAGAACGAGCTCACTGTGGCCAACTACGCTTTGGCTTTCTCCGCCAAGGCTTTGCGAATGCGTTCAGGCCTAGGCTAATTCTGCAGGCACGCCGTATTGCCGTAGAACGGCGCTGCTCGTATGCCACAAGTGATGTCACGAGAACTTTCCCACCATCCACCAGATGTGAATTTGAAATCATTTAATTAGTTTTAAAATTAGTTCTCCAGTGTTTTACAGCGCGATATTGATATTTCCGAGGTGGTGCCTGTCCCTAGCCCGTATTTATGCAGAAAGATCGGCGCTAAAATTTTGTTTCCGTGCCCCTTTAAAGATGAACTAATAAAGCTTATTAAAAATTAATCTTTGATGATGACTAAAGGTTCATTTCTTCATTTCAAAGCTACTACTTATGCCTTATTTTTTTTTTTAAATAAGGATACATAAAAATAATTATAAAAAAAGGACACCACCCTCTTTGAGAAAAGCCACGAGTCAAAATGTGTTCAATTTACAAAAGGAGTTGATAAAAAAAATGGTTCCTCATAGAAATATAAAAAGCCTCTTCGTGTGAATCGTGTGCAACAGTTCAGTTCAGGTGAAGAAACTCCTGTAAAATTGCAGCAGAAACCAGCGTATTCCTTAAAATATTGATTGATGAAAATACATTTGCCACGTTTATATGAATGTTGCAAGATAACCACCAGCAATGCATGTGTGTTTTGAAACAAATACTGAACACTACTCCCCAGCATTAGCAGCACCGTTGACTGACTGATGCACGGGAACCAAGTTTTAGAATACATATATCTAATTTTTTTTTTTTTCAGCTTTCTTTAGTCATTAGTCAAACCACATTACTAGTGAGCATAATTCACGAGCCCATCGAGATAACACAAAGGCTCTCCGGCATCAGCTGCTGCAAAGTACTGAAGCTTTACCAGAGTGTTCCGGTGCAAATCTATCAAGCTCGACACACGTGCTCTGGTGCTAAGATTGATGCAAGCACTGTGGCGTCAATCCTTACAAAATGTCCTGAGCACAAACACTAGCTAGATTTGACTAAGCCAAAGAAAAGCATTTTTATTTTAGGTTACAACTGTGGCACATGTGGTACAGCACACACTCCTATATAAGGACCTTTTTCTGACTTCTTTTGCTTCGCTTGAGCTCATCTGTGACGTGGTTCCTCACAAAAATGGTATTTTGGCACGTCACATAGCACCCATGATGAAATCGGGCACATATGAAGCAACGCTTCTATTACTGCTCAAAAAAAAAAAAAAAAAAAAAGATTAACAACTTTGTTTTGTTTCTTTTTTTTTTTTTTATATAAAAAAAACACAAAAAAACTGCCACTACTCTTTATTGACAGCAAAGGTAAGTTGGCCTCTTCAAACCAGGGGTCATAGCGTCTGGGAGTAGCCCATTTGGATATAACTATCGAAAAAGTAACTATTTTCTTTCCATTCTCAAATCCAAAAACATTAAACCTTTGAACTTTTAATTTGCATCACGCCATTACTACTGGGACTACTGTTCAATGAAGACTCGGCATTCTTCAATGCACAGTTAATTTATGCGAGGGGAGGAACCCCGAGCGGTTTCTTTGCTAGATGTGGTGCTTTCTACAGGTGGATCATTCCACGCCAAACAGTCCAGGCCTAAATTCGACCCTCACGGATTCGGTTAAGAAAATTGTATGTAGCACTATGAAAATAGCTCTACAAGATTGTTTGTAGCACTATAAAAGTAGTGCTTGTTTCGTCAGTGTGTACTTGACCTTCACGCTATTTAATTCTAAAATGCATATCCAACTAGCCCACCTGTAGATTTCAAAATTGTATGTCTCATTGGTGATGTAAAAGCACCTTCTCAAAGATATTTTTTCAACAACTATTTTGTTTCATTTTTTTACAACATTTTAAGATTTGTGGAAAAAAACAAGTAAAACCCACAATTTTCTTTTTAAAAAGGTTTGAAACAAGACTGCAAGATAAACACCATTTTTAGTAGGTCAATATATTATTCTAAATTATCCATGTTTGGTATGCATTTCCAAGTGTTTTTAAGGGTGCAGATCTGTTGAAAATGTCAAAAAAGCAGAGATTCACATTTCTTTTCCAATAACATACATCCATATGAAGACTTAAAACCTTGGTGTGTTAGTACTAAGGAAAACGAAATATATTAGAAACATTTTGATAACAAATTTGTTACTGTTTCCTAAATAAAATGGACAATATTGAACATAAAGGCAAATACTCAGTTTTCAAAAAAAAAAAAATTAAGGTTGTTGGTCGAAAAGTATATACTGAGCTGTTTTAGATATAGCCAGATAAAACGTAAAAAAGACAGTGCGAGGGGAAACTGGCAGAAACTAGAAAACGCTGAAGTTGAGAGGAGCAACCTCCTTTCCACAATGACTTCTCATGTGCCCCTCTCCCCCTTGCGTCTTTGTTTTGTTGTATCAGACTATAGTCTAGAACATGCGCAACAAACGAGCAAGTTGGAAAAAATATTTTAAAAGTAAGGTTTTTTTTTTTAATTTGTCTTTTGCCCGTTTTGAAAATACCGTAACATCCCGAGAGATGGCCCACCCCCAAAGGCTATTCCAACCCTATTTTTGGCTCGATTTGCTATATATTTTACCAAATGATGGCTTCCTCCTAGTAGTCATATAGTGTTCCGATCTATGATGACCTCGGCTCGAATGTGACTAGTTATACTATGGCGTTAAATAAGCAAACATTAATGATTCGGAAGCAGTTATATATCTTTGCTTCATTGCCCCTTGCCACGATAACAAGTTTGCCAAGAAATCTTAAATTTACATTTTTCTTTTCAGCTTTTTTTGATTGCATATTGGAAGTTAGCTTACTCCTTCTTTTCATCCGATTTGCTCTCGGATAACATGGTATTCAATTTTCAAAGCAAATATCAAATGGTGCTCGATTTTGTTTTGGAGAAAGTATTTTTTACAAAAAAATATACTTTCTTTTTTAAATTTTGGTTTATGGAAAGCTTTGAACAAATTGCAAAAATATTCAGCTTGAAAACAAAAACCAGAAAAACGGAGGCGTTTGGTCTGAAGATACATACTGAACGGTTGTAGTCGTCTAAAATTCAAACAAAAAACAAGCAAAAAAAATGTTTTCTTTTAGCTGAGGATATTTTTCTGTTGTTTTGTTATATCACCTTTTTGCATCCCTGTCCCTGGGGCAGAGACGTGCATTATTGCATACCTTAGCAAACGATGCCACTGAACAGACGACACCACTGTCGTCTGCTTTCACAACAGTGCGAAAGCAG